TATAAACTCGAATATATACCTCACCTTATTTCTATACCCTCTCTCAAACGTTCTCCCCAAACCTCTAAGTTGCACACTCCCTCGAATAAACATTTAAGGTCGTACAATACACATCCAGTTTCAATATACTTCCTTCAATGAAAAGGAAATTGCAAAAAATTTGCGCATAAACCTATGAATTTTGTTGGGAATGCTCGAAAGGATGCTTTGAACTGATCTTAATGAGCCTAAGTTCTAATTCAGTCACTGAGTAGCCTCATTTGCATATTAAGCGCCCACATCCTCCGCCGTGAAATTTTTCAAAAGTTTTCTTCTCCTCTAACGTTACCTTCACGTTGAATACATTCCTCTCATTCTCCAGAAACTTGTATGTTGTTTCTATTATGATGATGCACTGAAATCGATTGGAACTCCGTCTCTTCCGTATTTCAACGTTGGGATGAATTCATCGAAAGCAATCAATATGAAGTGAAACGAAAATTTGTGAGGTTGCTTCGAGCACAGTTCTGATTAAGAAATACATCACTGAGCACATTCGTACATCACTCACCCATCCACAAACACATGCACGTACACAACAATTTATGCACGACTTATTTTCAGTTTGGTCTTCCTTCCGAAAACTTTGGCCTTCCTTGAACGAAACGAAAAACCACACACACACACACGACTGTCAACGGTGAATAAATTCAGAGAACTGAGTTAAGCGATTACAATAATGATTTTATGTGTGAAAACTCTGATAAAATTTTTATTACGATTATGTGAATAAAATGTGAAAAAAATGAATGAAAATGAAAACAATGAAAAAATTGAAAATAAGGATGAAATACGAACCAAACACGTTAAATTAAGACCTCCTTTATCCTTCTTTTTGAACACGATATTCGGCGGTTGTTTATTCAGTCGAATGCCGAACCCTTCCAGCTCTTTCTCGATCAATCTCTTATGTTGCAGTGGTTTCATAACATCCAACACGATCAATATCAATGAACATGTTCGTGCCACTGAATCAATTCTATTTCAGTCATCAACGCAGAAACAGTTCATCTCATGGATGCTATTGTATAACCAAAACATTTGGCATAATACTCTCCAAAAACATAACAATTTATCTCTAACGAAAAAAATTCAAGTTAAAGTAAATTAAAATTTGAATTGTTGGCGAGACACGAACTGAGGGCAATTGATAAGGAATACTTTTGCATGGCACCACATTCGTCTATCCAAAAAATGTGGACTACAAAGGTAAAATGGTAAATAATTGAAATTATGAAGTGAAAATTGAGGCAATNGAATTGTTGGCGAGACACGAACTGAGGGCAATTGTTAAGGAATACCTTTGCATGGCACGACATTCGTCTGTCCAAAAAATGTGGACTACAAAGGTAAAATGGTAAATAATTGAAATTATGAAGTGAAAATTGAGGCAATGAAACCGATTTTGACATATAACATTCCAAAACTTTTCAGTAAACAGATAGATTTGCAGTGAATCAAAAAGCACATTTTTTGCAGTGGAATGAGATAAAATCAGACTAATTAATCAATTGATTGCAAAAATATTTTTAGGCAAAAAAATTTTTTGGATTCTACAATTTCACCACAAT